GGACATTCCTCCTGGTTTTGAGGATCATCAGACAGAAGGTAAAATATGCAGGCTTCGAAAGTCATTATATGGTGTCAAACAGTCTCCAAGGGCTTGGTTTGAGAGATTCACTCAGGCTATGCTTAAATATGGCTTCAAACAGAGTCAGGCAGATCACACCTTGTTTGTGAAACATTCTTCACTTGGTAAGATTATAGCACTCATTGTTTATGTAGATGACATGGTTCTTACGGGTGATGATAGTGATGAAATTCCTCTGTTGAAGAAATATTTAGCCAGTGAGTTTGAAATCAAAGACTTGGGAAGCTTGAAGTATTTTCTGGGAATTGAAGTTACTCGCTCCAAGGATGGAATATTTATCTCACAGAGGAAATATGTGCTTGATCTGTTGAAGGAAACTGGGATGCTTGGCTGCAAGGCCTGTGACACTCCACTGGAACCCAATCAGAAACTGGGGGATGATGAAGGAAGAGCAGTTGTTGACACGGGGAGCTATCAGCGATTAGTAGGTAAGCTTATTTACCTCTCTCACTCCCGTCCTGATATTGCTGTTACTGTCAGTGTGGTTAGCCAGTTTATGCATGTTCCTCATCAGATTCACTTTGAGGCTGTTATGAGGATTTTGAGGTACTTGAAGTCTGCTCCTAGTAAGGGTCTTTATTTTTCAAAGTATGATCATCTTCGTGTGGAAGCCTATACAGATGCTGACTGGGTTGGATCAATGACTGATAGGAGATCTACTTCAGGGTATTGCACCTTTGTTGGAGGCAACTTAGTTACTTGGAGAAGTAAGAAACAGAATGTGGTTGCCAGGTCAAGTGCAGAAGTTGAGTTTAGAGCTATGGCACAAGGGGTGTGTGAGCTCTTATGGATCAAGTTATTGTTGAGTGATCTAGGTATTGATCAGACGGACTCCATACGGTTATACTGTGATAATAAGGCCGCCATCAACATACAATCCAGTTCAACATGACAGGACAAAGCATGTTGAGATTGATCGCCACTTTATTAAGGAGAAACTCACTAGTGGCACAATATGTGCTCCCTTTGTACAGTCTGGTGAACAACTTGCTGACATCCTCACCAAGGGAGTTGGGAGTAAGCCATTTCATGACATCTTAGGCAAGCTAGGCATGAGAGATATTTTCGCACCAGCTTAAGGGGGAACGTTAGAATAATATTGTTATTTGGGCTCTTATTTTGTAATTATTCTATGCATTAGGGCTCCCTTGTAATTATTAAATTCATTAATATAAATAGGGGATGATATTGTAATCATTCCCTAATTGAGTATTCTCCAAAAATAACAGCAACTTATGATAAAAGCTTGCCTAAACTGTAGTAAAGATTCTTGCTCAACTTTCTACATTAGTAGATATTGCTGGCGAATGTTGCTCAGCCTTTTGACTGAATTATTTGTGGGATGAGAATATATGTTCCCTCCAGTCAAATTTTCTTCATGCCAGTCATTGCAACATTTTGACAGTGATTTTTTAAGCTTTAGTTAGATAGTTGCAAATAGTTTAAGCAAAAATTTAGTGACTCCAATACTTGCTCTGCCCCCTAGGATCTTTGCTGGAGTTGTTGGGCTTTCGACAAATTTTTATTGATCCATCAATGAAGGCCCCGTTTGGTGTAGCTGTTAAAACAGATTATAGATTATGACTTTAATCAGAAGCTGTTAATCTGTTTAGTGTAACTGTTGGATTATAGATTTAAGTTGTTGAGTAGTGTTTGTTAAATAAACTGTGAAGTAGTTTTTTCAATCAACTTTTATTTTTTGTTATTCACTACTTGTCTACATTTCTCATAAAAAAAAAATAATAATAATAATCTATAGTCCATTTGGGTCTTTTTTTATTTTTAAAAAAATAAAAAATAAAAAAAATCTAAGAGTATAATCGTAAATTAACATGTTCACAGCAGAAGTTAATAATCAGAGGCAAGAGGTGAGCAGCTTCTCAGAATCAGCTTTTTTAAGTTAAAATAAGTTGTTAGAATAAGAAATTGTTTGAAATAAATTTAACCAAACAGTTCAAAATAGTTTTTCAAAAGCTAAAAGTTATAAGTTGGCTCAAAAAAGCCCAAACAAACACTCCCGAAGTGTTTAGCTATTTACAATGAAAATGAATAAAATTTTATTAAAAAATTATGTCGCAAGTCTAAATATATATATTAGTGATGTTTGCCTACCCGATGGATGTGTTGTTAAATCTAGAAAATATAAATTTTGATTTTGATTTTGATTTAAAAGCGCACACATTGTGTGCCGCTCAAGTGGAAAGGGTCTTGTCTACTAGACCAAAGTACTTCGTTTCAAGTCCCAACATCCTCTCTATATAATTTTGTATTTTAAATCAGCTAGAAGAGCATTTTCGGAAATCAAAATGTCAAATTGTGTCAACACCATCTCAAGCCTTCACTTTATAATATATATATTGATGGACACATCACATTTCCATGTTGATATTGCGAATTTTGAAACAAAAATTATAGATCTTTACTCAAAATTATGAATAATTTGTAAAGTATTAAGTATAAATAGTTATGCATAATTTTGAAGGTCAAATGTTGTAATAAAATGTATATTTGACATTCTTATAATAGCATACATAGTGTGACAAATATGTGCTGCAGAATACATAAATAACACCAATGATTAAATTTTTATGATGTATGAAGGCAATTATACTAACCAAATAATATAAGTATAATATACAAATAAAGTTCAAATAGATGGATTAAATGTACTTTTTAATTGATGTAAATACACAGAATAAAGCTCATATACATAGATAACAATCCATTAGTACACCAACTATTTAATATGACTATTGTCTACTACTATTATATATATTTTTTGGATAAGTAGTATTACCCCTATGTTCAATACAAAAGTTTTTAGCTGGCTCGCATGTGGGGCCCACATGTCCTTCAATCCTCCATTATCCTGTGTTTGGTTCACCTAGATTATCTTCCCTCCTCTTTCCAACTGTAAAAATAATCCTCCCAACTCTTATCCCATTCTTCATCCCACTTTAACCATATATAATACAAAAAGTCTCATGGTATATATAAACAGTCAATATCCCATAATGTACCAAGAAACATGTGGGGCCCGTGGTATTACTTATCCCCTTGTCCCCTTAATCCTATTTCCCGAAACAAACATGGCCTTAGTGTATGCTTTGGTACACAATGCACTTTCTTGACATCCCATGTGAACTTGGAGTCTAGGTCAAAACCGGTATAGAATCTGTGTTACTTGGAATGCAAATTGAATCCTATGCGAGGAACAGCAATAGAAATGTGATACACCACACGCTCTAAAATGTATTATGACAGAAGTGGCTTGTATAGATCACACTAAATATAATTTATTATTCTTCAAATTAATCATTTAAAACCTAATTATAAAAGGATTATGGTCCTATGTTTATACATTTTGTCATGCCAAGCTCCCACTATGTTTAGCTTTTAGTTCATTATATTTAATTCTTTTCCTTCTAATTAAAGAAATTACATAGGGTGGGAGAAAATTGATATAGTTTTGGATCGTTGAATCCATTGTTTTAGAATGGAAGTTTACTTTGTTTTGGAATGTGCGTTCGAATTCATAAATCGTTAGGGTGTTAGCTTTTTTCTAGTACATTGTGTGGAATAGTAAGGAAGAGCACAGAAGAGAAAGAAGGAGAATAATAATAAATAAATAAATAAGAAAAAGAAGAAACAAAGAGGGAGAAAAGTTGTGGAGTACACTTCTACTCTGTGTTCTGTTATGAAGTTTTGTCATTCACTAGATATTGAGCTGAAGTGTTCAGGGGATGAAAAAGGTGATTGTTGTAACTATAGTTACTGGAATAGTGATATTCTGGCGATCTACATTTGGGAATATATGTTCTGAAACGTGGACACTTATTTAGTGATCCAAAGCAATTCTAACATTTTCTCTATTTAATTCCTTGGTGCTTCCCTTGTGAGGGAAGAAGAAAAACATGAAAAATAATGAACTAAAATAAAAAAAAAGAGTGGGATTTTGGCAAAAGATCTAAATGAAAAGGCCATAGACATTACTTGACTTGTACAGAAAATACACTAGATCGTAAAGGATGCGTGTTAGTCAGTTTTTTATTTTTTTTTATTTTTTTATTTTGTAAGATTGAGGAATAAGTTGGACGATTATGCTATTCAGAAGGAAAGCATGTTGGATATAAGAAAAGTTAAATACCAGAAATGCATTTTATGTTTCATTGAATATCTGAGTATTTATGAAAAAAATCATCTGGTATATGGAAGTATGTCAATACATTGCACATTTTGTGATCTATACAAGCTATCCTTTTGTGCACGAGGTTGTGTAGTATTTGGTGTACCATGTTCTTCTTCATATTCCCATTCGTCATACTGAATGACCCACAATTTAGGCGACACTAGTTGGCTGGTTTAACATGGAATGTATAGCATAATGATTGAATCTCTATTATTTTCTTGATAAGTTTTCTTTTGTAAACAAGAAATTTAGGTTTGTTTTGTATTAAGAATTAGGAAACCCCTCAGCTATAAATTCTCTATCATGATCCAATTAATTGATTGGAGTTAGCCTTTGCTGATCAAGAAGGTCCGAGTTCCATGTCTTGTTTCCCATCATATGCAATTCTATGTTCTGAATTGCAGACACCTTGCTCTCTTATCATCTTTGGGTCTAGTTTCACATATTTCCACAACTTGAGTAGTTATCATATGTTCCTTGGTTATTTTTCCCCCGTTCAGTTGTTGAATTGCAATTCGTGAACTACCTTTACAAGCATAATGTTATCTATGAGTTCATATGCAATAATTACCGGGTTTGATCAAGATTTTATTGGCACTCAATATGACATTTGATTCTTTGCTTACCTTGGACAAGTTATCAGAATATTGTTTCTAGGATGGCTGTCATCATTTGATTTGTTTCAAAAGGATTTGACAGTTTACATTTGTGTCTCTTTTGTTAATTACAGTTGAGGAGTGTCATTGATCCAAAGAGGCACTACAAGAAGGGTGATTCAAAATCGAGAACAGTTCCCAAGTATTTCCAGGCAAGTACTTGGTTGCATACAAGAAATGTAACCTTATTATATTACCAAAAGGAGCATCTGCCGGACTTCATCATATGTATTCTTTTTTTGTTGCCCTGTATTGATTTCTTAGGTAAGTAGTGAGAAGATTGGCATTTTACAAATTTTCAGGTGGGCACAGTGATAGAGTCGGCATCAGACTTCTTCACAGGTCGGCTTACTAAGAAGGAGAGGAAAGCAACCCTTGCTGATGAGCTACTCTCTGATCATACCCTTGGGGAGTACAGGTGAGGCAGAGTACATTACTGTTGCCTGTTGTCCAAAGCTTTGCTCCCCCCCCGCCCCTTTTTCTTTTTCTTTTTTCTAATAATTGTATACCAACCTTTTGCAGGAAGCGCAAGGTTCGAGAGATTGAAGAACAAAACCGTCCTGGAGGGGTGGAGAAATGGAAGATAAAAGGTAGACAGTCTTGGAAACGTGCTAAGCAAAGAAGACACTGATGGCTTTCGATGTTGTTGACCCTGCAAAGGATATTTTTCTCCAGCCAAGTTCAGTTTTTGTGTTGACACATATGACACATACCAGTGGTAGATGTTAACATTTGGTCTTGTGCCATAATGAAATGAGAGCAGTCAATCAGATCAACATCAGGCGCGTTTAATCATTATAGATTATATTTATACACATCACATGAATTTATTGATTGCTTGCTTTTTTATGTATTGACTGTTAATGTTTTAGACACTTCTCTAGAAGATGGCTATTAATGTTGTATGAAGTTTTGGATTTGTGTGGCAAATTGTCATTATTGAGATGGAAGGACAGTTAATTGCTTTTGGCGTCTGGTTTATTGCTAGAGTCGACTATCAACCTAGTGGTTTTGGTTTTTTTTTTTTTCTCCTTTTTAAATTCAATCAAAAGTAGGGGAATAATAAGGGAAGTTACATCACGCACACAGTAGTGAATAATGAGACTTTGAAAAACATTTTAGCAATTTGGTGAAAGATTTTGCTGAATCATTTCTCTGTACTGTATTGTATTGTATTTAACCTCCTACTGTACTGTTTTTTCAGCCAGCAATTGACATCTCATCAATATTATTGACCAGGAGTAAGTGCTGATATACAGCATTGTTCGCGCTCACATAACAGATGAGCACATGAGATGAGTTGAGTGAATTTAATAGCCCGTTTGGAAACCAATTTTTCGGCCCAAAAAAAAAAAAAAAAAAAAACATTATTATAGGCACAGAGAAGGAAAAAAAAAAAAAAAAGAAAAAAGTTAAAAAAAAGAAGCCAAATGGTCATATACATCAATTAACGAGTCTGTAATCTAAACATTAACAGTATTTAAAAACGGATGCAAAATGGCACATGTAAAAACCTAATTGGAGGAGCCTAGACGGAAAGGGAATCTGGGAACACAACAAACAAACTAAAAATACAGCAACTGCTCATTTAAAATGCAGTGATAACTAGATGCCAACAACATGCCCCGCTTTACCACGGAACCTGAAATGAAATGATATGATGAGGCTACGTTGACAAACTAAACTAGAACTATTACATGAACCAAATCACAGCCCCATAAAAAAATAATAATAATAACAATAAAATAAACCTAGTATACGTCCCAGATTGAATGGATTACAATATCCTGTACCAGGAAAAGTAGAATACCAAAACATATGACAACAAAACCGCCCAACTTATTATGGACAATTAGGAATTGATAAATTTGTTGTGTTTACAATAAGGGGTACAGATTTCTGTTGTTTTTAACTCATTTACACAAAGTTGATTAAGAAAGTTCAATGCAAATTCCAGTTTGTAGCACCATAATAGTCTTGATTCATGGCAGCGGTTCTTGCGAATCTCCCAAGCGAGACAAATGAAGGTATGCATCTGTCCCTGTGAGAACAAAGCACGTGCATACATGTCAGTAAACATTGTGGCAGAATCCAAGTGTAAAAAAAAATCAGAACCATGGAGAAGTGGAATTCATAAACATTTAGTAAAAGAATAAAAAGCCTAGTGCTGCATATGCAAACATGTGAGCATTCCTACATTAACCTCCTTTATCACCCTGACTTTATATGTTTGATCCTTACCCAAGATTGCTAAATTTTCCATGCCAAAATGGCATGTAGATTCAATGTTGTTCGGAAGCCCCACCTCATTCTCAGGTGCATGTATTTCAAGCATAGTTCCAGGAAGAATAGACTATTGAAATGAGCAGAAGATAGAAAAGATAGTTCTAATTTCTAAACAAAACTATATTTATCAGTTTAAGAAGAAAATTTTGGTTCATGTACATCCCCCAAGCTCCTTTTTGACCATCTATCCCCAACCAACTAGGCAGAAAGAACAGAGAACACATTTGATTGAAACAAAGACAAGATATACCAAGCAGTTTGTGGGTAACCTTCTAGATGCAAATAACAGGACAATGAAGTCATGGAAAGCACATTATCATGCTGATTTTCATACATTAAGGGATTCTTCGATTACAGCACAACACAAAACAATAATTAACTTACCGTATCCTTCCATAGAGATGATTTGCAGGTCCCCTCCAAAATATCTGGCATATAAGCGGCTTATTGGAAGCCCATATCCATAACCAGCCATTGTTGCTATGTTAGTTGTTCCAAGATCTGACTGCTCATCCAGGGGGTTTTTGGCAGTACTGTAAAGATATGTAAATATTTTAGGGAGACCACTTCTTGGTATTCCACCCCCTTCATCTGACACCTACCATCCAAATATACCACATTTGTTGAGTAATAGTGGGTGTTCTGTTAAATTTGTAAACTTAAAAGTATAAATGTTGTGTGCCGCTCAAGTGGTAAAAATGGCCTTTCTTAGAATGAAGGTCTTGGGTTCGAGCCCCATCCTCTTTATATAATTTTACATAAACACCAACTCTAGAGGTATTTTGGGAAAACCTAAAACATGAGACATTTTGTGTCAACATCATCTCAAGGCTTCACATATATAATAGTATAGATATAGATAGATAGATAGAAGATAGATTGAGAAAAAACAACAAAACACATGCCTTAATGGTAACGTCCTCTATTCCATCAGCTACTATTATTCGAATAGGAGGTGTGGCTTTGTCCGAGTCCATAAACCGCTCCTGGACAGCACGTAAGGAGTTCTTAACCAACTCAAAAACCATCAGATGTAAATGTGTTGGAACATACCTGTTAAGGAAGCAAACAAAGTTGTTAACATGGAACATGAAAGAAAACATAGAAGAACAAATTCTACTTGGAATTCATTACTCGGACACACATGGGCGCGCGGGCGCGCACATACACACACACACACACATATATATATATATATGAAGAGTCCAACACACCATTTTTGTTTGTTGTTTGACAAGGGAAGAAGAAGAAGAAGAAAATGGCAAAACAAATAGAGGAATAATAAATTAAAGGATTAATTAGAAGGACAATAGCTTACGGGAATGTAAATTTAGGATCCCCATAGATATTAACATCAGGTGCACTTCCGTACTCCCGCAAACAAATTGCACGGGCATCCTCACTGGCAGTTCGTGCTACCTGTACAGGAGACATTTTGGTATGTATATAACCCACACAATCAGGAGGAGGGTTGGGATCATGCAATGCAACGTGCTGCCCTGAGTTTCATGCAAATTAGAGGTACATAAAACATGTTCAGTATCCATCTTTAGTAACACTAACAAAATTGATTACGACGGAGGGATAAACATAATGCTTAAGTAAAAAGGTCAATTAGGAAATAAATCTCAAGTACAATAAATGGGAGTAAGCAAGATGGGCTAACCAATAAGCATTCGAATCCCAATTCTTGACATGTAAAAGCGATCGAGGAACTGATGAATCTCGTCCAGATCCTGATAATCAATCTTCCGACCCAGGCTTTTCTTTAACTGTTGAACCCCCAAAGCCATCATGGGAACAACATTATTGTGCCTCACCTTAATCATCTTAATCATTTGGGTAAATTCCAACTCATCATTTGTGTTCTTGATCTCGGGAAAGGATCTAAGGTCACGGAAAGAATCCAGATACCAATCACGCACCTAAAAACAGGAAGTTCAAATAATTAACGGGTACTGAGCTCAAACAATGAAATGCCGTTCTGATGAATCTACTAGTATTTACTTATGTATGTTTATTTTTATTTTTATTTTTATTTTTATTTTATAAAAAGCAAAACACAATGCAGTCTTAGGGAAGGGAGTTATGTCTATCGATTAAATAACACTAAAAAAAAAATAAACATAAGACCGATGGTGAGAATATTCAAAGCAGAAGTCAAGAAAGATACAATACCCAAATTGAGATATGCAACAGCAAGATCTTTTCTTTCATATATTGTAAAATATTTGAAAAATGAAAAATCTTCTTTTTCCGATTTATTAAGAAACTCAGATTAATTCAATTCCATCCAATTCACAGGAGAATTTATAAATAAAATAATAAATTTAAAGAAAAAAAAAAAAAAAAGAAGGACCTTGAGCAGGCTTTAGGGATAAGCCATAAGGGAGGGTCTCAAGCTCAAGGGCTTTTCTGGCAATCCTGGCAGGGAGCTCTTTGTGGAGAAACTGAGCGGAAATCAAGAGATTGCGGAGGGTGGGGGTGGACCCAAACTCCATCATGTACTTGAGGCTGACTCCCTTCTGCTTCAAACCACCCCATCGCTGCACCTCATGGATCAGGCTCTTCGAGTACGTCTCGTACAGTTTCTGATTCTTCGCCGCCATGCCCCCCCTTTTCCCCTCCACCTCCCCCTCCTAACTCCTACTCCTACACCACCACCTACAGGACCAACATGCAAACCGGACTCATGCACACAATTCTGTCCCATTTTAATTCCATCAACAGGCATCCATTAAACAACCCCATAATATTCAAAAAAATAATAATAATAATAATAATATTCAAGCCACAATTCCTATCCCATATTCACACGCACATCTTTCGTCTCTTTGTTATTCACAATGGATTAAAGAAAATTCTATTCAATTTATTGTTTTCTACTCAAATTGAGAATTTAAAATTATACCAAATTTGCTTCATAACAGAAATAGGTTTTAATAACATTTATATACATATTTTGTAAAAAAGACTTAAAAATTTTTAAGCAATATCAAGTAAAATGGTTTATTCATTTGAATATGGTTTTAATCCAATAAGATCTTCAAATTAGCTCATAAGTCACAATAATACCATGAAATTTCTCCAAAATAAAGAAATATTAAGGTAAAAGTATCTCTACCTCAAGATTGGAAGCTAAGGATGAAGACCCATCTTGAAACTCCAATAAAATCACAAGACAATCGGTAAAAGTCTTGATCCATACTTGTTCTTCAATCTTCTTGAAAGATTTGGGTTGAATCCTTGGTAAAAAGAAGAGAAATCGAGGGTTGGAAGGTTAGGGTTTCAGGTTTGGAGAATGAGAGGAGAAGAGATGGAGAAAAAGTCACTTTTATAATGTCTGTTAGTGACTTGGTCACTCAAGCGAATGAAGCTTGGCTCGAGCATAGAAAAGAATCTTCCAAAATCTCTGAAAATCGCGCAGTTTGCCCGAGCAAAAAAAAGCTCGCTCGAGCGAGCATACTTCCAACACAGAAATTCAAAATTCAAACAGGTATAACTCTCTCGTTCGGACTCTTCTTTAGGCCATTCTTGTGTCCAAATCGAAGCCCCGAAAACAAGCTTTCCAGTGGTTCTAGCCTCACATTCAAATTCAAAGTATAGAAGGAGAAATGACAAAAGAGTGAAGGTTGGTCAAAAATGAAAACCCAAATTTGGGGCTTTTGATCTAACATTGCCTAAATACTTTGT